AGTGGGGGGTTTGGGGATAGTTAATGATATCTGCGAGCATTGAAATTCGGTCTGATTGAAGCCAAAATTTGATTTGTCAATTCTGTGGGAACGGGTGAGCGTTTTTAGTAAGTTAGAGTTTTTAAGTAACTAACCAACCAGTTAAACAAGTTGATTGGAGACGTGGCAAGGTTGTATACCATTTTCAGTTGTAACCGCTCTAAGGCATATGCGAACAAGGTCAAGTTCAGTCACGTGACCAGTTCTCCACCATAGTCGTTCTCGTAGCGTGCAAACTCTGCAATCAAACCAAGCTTGCATTCTGTCATGTACTCCGTATTCGATCTACCTTGAAAGAACGCTTCTCATTATCCGCCCCATGTATCACATTCAATTGCCTTTCATTCCATATATCTCAGGTTCCTTTGCTCTTAACTAACCTCAACCCTAATCCTAACCTAATCTCTCCAATAACCTTATTTAGCCCTAACCTAATATATGCCTAACCTAATTTAATTTAACCCCGGCCTTTTACGCTATGCTATAAAGTTTTCAAATTCAGGTACTTCACCAATTTATCTATGCCCCCGTCCTAATAAGTGGATTGGATTGGGTTCCGAAAGCGTCCTTGACCGAGCATCAACTTGATTGTTGATTGCAAGATCTCACAATCCTCTCTATGGCTGCAGGGTCAAGCGGGTTCTGCAAATTGAAAGTGGAGAAAAGAAGAATGTCAAAAAACCAGACCATATAAAATTATAGCTGATAGTGCAGATTCTCACCACTGCCATCAATAAATGTGACGCACACAGAATGCGAACCCTTAGTGAATTCAGCTCAGCAGATTCCATTGCGAGGAGAGGCTTGTAGAAAAACACACAAGAGACGAGGTTCACGGAGAATAAATCTCGACTAATGTGATCCTATGGCTACAATGGAAGAGTGTATGGAGTATAGGATGCAACTTTTTCGGGATGATAGTTTAAAACATTTGAAAATCTATATGATGATTAAGAAAATTTAGACCTAAGTGCGGGAATACCCAGTTTATACGCACCACCTCTAAAGAGAAACTCCACAAATCTGAAAACGAAATACCAAAAATA